TGCTTTTCTTTAAGCTATCAAAATACTTCACAAATATTTGTAAGTACGCAAATAATACATTTCTTTAGAGAATATGTATTTTTACTATTAGCCCTACTATCTAGGTGGAATTGTAAAGCAAATAACAGATATCTCTTAGTTGTAGTATTAGATACTAGCATGTAGTAATTAGTGCTTAGGTTAGATTCATATACTTTGTCATGAAACTAGACTTCAAGCAGCATAACTGATACCATCAACTGTAGAAGACAGGATGCAAAATTATTGTCCTGGCTGGTGTACAGAAAGAGCTCATAAAACTCTGCCGTGTGAGGAGGGCACCCAGTCCAGGAATAAACAAAGCCTTTGCACTCTGCTCTCTGCGCCTGAGTATTCAGTGTAGCTTGGGAAAGAGCAGAACAGTCAAAGCCGGACATTACTGAGACTAGATTTTTTGAAACTTTGTGGTGTCTCTCTAGACACCCATGTCTACTGGCAGGGAAGATTGTGGCAGCTCTGGGTGAAATGCTTGTTACTGTAATAGAATGAGTGAAGCAATTTAAACACAAGATAAAAAAACACAAAGTAGACAAACCACAGGTTGTAATTGTGGGAAAGCTTTCTTGCTTCATTGAATGTCTTAAATAGGTGCATAAACAGGTAACAATTAAACAGTTGGAAACATGATACCTGAAAACAAGAATAGGCGTTACTGACCCTGCATCCACAGTTCCAGAAAGAATTTGGCTTAGAGTTGAGTCATATTTATTGCAAACAGATAATAGATGGAAGTGAGGTTATTGGATGATAGACGATTGTGAACATAAATGCTAGAAGCATAAGTTTATTGGCTTGCTGGTAAGCCTTAGTTCTTAGTCAGGACTGTAAATTAGGCTATAAATTGTGCTAAAGCTTGCAAAAACATAGTGGTGGAAAGACACAAGAAGCAGCAAAAACAGATTGAATCTGTAAGTTATTTGAATCTGTTGAGTGCAGGCAATTTTAAATACGTACATAAGCCTTACTGAAGTAAGTAGTTAGCTGTTTGCTGACCTTGGACATATATTACTTTATGAAGATTATAGAAAACGTCTGAGGTTGAGACAAATTCTTGCAAAGCTCACAACTTTGACTTTCAGTCCAAAGTGCATTTATTGCCTTTCAGGAGAACTCCACAATGTCTAGGTTTTGTTCTAAACTGTCCTAGCAGCTATGCCCGAAGAAGATGAGCAGTATCCAGTGCAGTTTGCTCTGTGGGTGATCTCTGAAAAAAAAGGCATTTATAATCTGCATGGATATTAGTATTTTTCCCTGCCCTTTTTCTGAGCTCAGATGCTTTCCCGGTGTCCCAGCCAACAATTTTTCCAGTCTTTATTGGGAACTGCGATCTGTGCTGCTTTTTCCCTTTGACTGCTATCTTCTGTCTTTTAAATGGCTTTTGTTCCAGGAGTGAAATCATTCTCTGAAAGTGCAGTATAGAACCATTTGATTAAAGTTTCTGAAAAATGTCAGGGCACAACTAGTTTTTTTACTTGGATTTTAGTGGTCAAATGCATGCAACAGCACAGTAGCATGGAAATTCAGTGGCAGAAAAAAATGTAGTATTCTTGTTTTAAAAATTCTTTATGTAGTGAGAATATGTGTGAAATGAAGTAGGAAGACAAGTGAACAATTTAACAGATACTGGTTCCAAAACAATCGAAACATTGCAAAAACAAAACCCCTTTCATTTATGGCAAAATATAAACAGAGCTACTTCTTCAGACAAGCAAGTGCTAGGAATTACACATTTTAAAAACAGATCATATAATATCAGATCAGAAATAGGATTTATGGACCACTTCTGTGACAGAAGCTAGCCTATACGACTGTTTGAGTTCAGCTCTATAATCCCAGGACAGGGAAGAATTAGTTCTGAGGCCCATGTTCCTTTCCCTAAAGTTAAGCCTTATGTGTCTCACTTCAGCCTCTGCAAAGGTATGGAGAAGATTAAACTGGAAGCTGTTAAAAAACACCTGAAAGGCAGTGCAGTCTTTTGTCACAGCCAGTATAGGTTCACAGGAGGAAAGTCCTGTTTAATGAACTTAGTTTCTTTTTACACAAGATTACTGATGTAGTTCACCAAGGCAAACTGGTTGATGTAATCTTTTTGAATTTCAGCAAAGCTTTTGATACTGTCTCTCATGGTCTTCTTGTGGACAAAATGTCCACTGTAGAGCTAGACAAAAACGTAACATGGTAGGTAAACAATTGACTGGTGGGTCAGACTCAGTGATGTTTATAGTGAATGGGATTCCATCAGGCTGGTGGCCATACACTTCTGGTAATCTACAAGGGCTCCATTTTAGGGACAATTCTCTTCAATATTTTTATAAATGATCATTGTGAGGAGCTGCTGTTTATCTTGCTCCACAGCTGCTGTTCTGAATAGTTTTTCTTGTATTCTCACAAGGAGCTGTTTAGTCCCTTGAGGTTAGAGAGGCATTGCAGAGAGTTCTTGACAGATCAGAAGGCTAAGCGATCACCATGGATGGAATTTAAAAAGTGCAGATGCTGAATTCTGCACCAGAGGTGGCATAACCCTGGATGTATTTACAGAGTGAGAGTAAGCACTGCTGTGAAATGAGGATCTGGGTGTTCTGGCAAGTTGCACATGAGGCAGCAGTGTGCCCTGGCAGCCCAAATGGCCAACTACCTGGGGTGCAGCAGGTCCTGCACTGCCATCGGGGTGGGGAGGGGCTGTCTGCTCTGCTCTGTGCTATGCAGCCTCACCTACAGCACTGGGTGCGGCTTTGAGTGCCAAAATAGGAGAAGGGCATAAAACTATGAGAGAGCATCCATAGGAAGGCTACAGAGATGGTGAAGAGTCTGAAGGCAAAGTGTGTGAGGAACAGCTGAGGTCCTTGGGTGTGTTCAGCCCAGAGCAGTGCAGGCTGAAGGGAGGCTTGATGATGGCTGCAGCTCCTCACAGGGCAGCGCTGAGCTCTGCTCTCTGTAACAGCGACAGGGACCGAGGGAACAGCATGGAGCTGTGTCAGCTGTGCCACTCCTCACTTGAGGAGCAAGTTGGGCACTGAAATGGGCTTCTCAGAGCAGTGGTCATGGCACCAAGTCTGTTGGAGTCTAATAAAGTGTTTGGACAGTGTTCTCAGGCACGGGGTTTGAATACTGTGAGGTTCCATATGGAGCTAGAAGTTGTTCCTGATGATTCTGATGATCCCGCCCAATTTGCAATAGTCAGTGATTTTTTTATTCTGTTTTCTTATAAATGCCACATGTATGCACACTCCCACCCAAACACCCATGTTCATCTTCATGGAATTTTAGTGGAATGCATAGAAATGAGTTTTTTGGCCTCTTTCTGTGGGGTTTCTGTTGCTGCTGCTCTCATCTTTCATCCTAAGTGCCAGTGTAATATCACAGTGACTCAAACTCCTTGTATTAGAGAAACTTGTTTTAAATTACACTAAATTAATGTATGTATATTTTGGAAATAAAACTGCTGTCTATGGGGGAGAGAGGGAATTCCTGTCATCTCAGTTCAGGAATCTAACTTATTTTGTTGCATTGTATTAAATGGAGGAATTGAGAGCGAGTTTTGACTCCTGAATACGTGCTTTGAGTAAATTCCCAAGGATTTTCCATTCTCCCTTAGCTTTGAAGATAATGGTGATGGATGGCTCAAATTTGACTGTATTGGTACATGATCCTGTTACAGAGGAAATAATTTCTTGGAAAGCTTAATTTTTCTTCTTTTAAATTACAAAGTACTTATTTTTGATGGTATTTCTTACCATCCATCCTGCAGGAGAGATGTACCTGGTACAATTCTGAGATTCAGATTCACAGTTCTTAGCTTTATGTCTGAATGTGTGAATTGGAAGAAACAGGTTAATATGCTTTTCCACACTTTCTTAACTCTTTGTAGTCATTTTTAAACTCAGAAACCATCAATGTGTAGTCTCTTTGGATACCTGTTGACCTTATGACAGACTAGCAAGACATGCTGTGAAATCCTAGGTGGCTTTTTCAGCATTTCTTAAAAGGGGAAATACTTGGTTGAAATGTTCTTGACATCAGTGTTATTGGTAAAGTGCATTTTTAGTGGCTATGCCGTAGCTTAAACTTGGACAGGACTCCCTGCATCAGCGGACCTGCTGAGGATAAGCTGAATCCACTGACACTGCTAAAACCATAGAGTTGTTTGACTTTTTCTGGCTAAAACAACACTCACATGTTGTGTTTTCCGTGGGGTGAAACTGCTATGTGGTGCAGCTGCAATTAGGGACGTGACTGGGGAAGCGGCTGTGGGTGCACAGCTAGGCTGCATGCTGGGCCTCTGCCAAGCAGGCCTGGGAGAATTGCTCTGGAGGATGGAAAGCAGAAGGGAAAGAGAAGGCCTGCCAGCCACACCTCTCCTATTGCTGTTCTAAATCATCCTGCCCTGTGGCAGGAGACAGGGGACAACTGGAATGAGCCATTTCCTCTCATCAGTACTGCTCTATGAGGAGCAAATCCTAAGAGGAAGGGAACTGGCAGTTTCCCTCAGGCAGGTCTCTGCGGCTCCGTGCACTGCCCAGGGAGTGTGGTGCCTCAAAATGTCTGTGAGGATCCCTCACAGGTTTAAGAAAGACAGAGGAAGTAATTGTTCCCATCGTGGCCAATATGGTGTGTGAAGCTGTATTTATGAGAGAGGGTTTGCTCAAGAAAATCTGAAATAGTGTAATTTATTTCACATTGCTAATGAGCATTGCAGTACATTTGAGCTGTACATTTCTAATCAAATACTCTCCATGCTTTCTGTTAGTGGGAATTTGTTACTTCGGCTGCCATTATTTCATTTTTCATGAGAAAAAATCTTTTGTTTAAGACCTAGTTTTGCCCGTGGTTTCTTATTACCTTTTCCTGACATTTCAAGTTGCAAGAGAACGATTCAGAATAGCTGCACAGATGGTTTCAGTTTAATCTGCTATAGAAAAATACAATATTATTTGCTTTTTTTTTTTTTTCCCCAATTTCAGATACCTCTTATACCTGCAAATAAAAAGGGATATTTTCCATGGCCGTTTGCTGTGTTCTTTTTCTGATGCTGCCTACCTGGGTGCCTGTATAGTCCAAGGTAAGTGCAAGCAGAAGATTTGTGAGAAATAATTCATAACTCTTAAAAGTAATCAATATAAAGAGAAATGCAAAACTGTGTGAGATTGGTGATGAGAATAGCAATGACTTTTTTTTCTCTGCATTTGTGTCGGTTTTAAAATGTTTAAGTAATTCAGCTTGTAGCCAGCTTATGACACACAGGACTTATGACAACAACAACAAAACACCAACAAAACTAACTAACGAACCACACACAAGAACTACAAAAAGCAAAACAAAACAAACAAACAAACTTGAAACCCCACTAGCTGATTGCCTTAGAGTTAGAGTTAGAAAGTATGTAATTGGTATTAGACTGCCATTACAAAGAAAGCAAAACTCTGTTCTTTTGCTATCCTGAATGTAAACATAGTCTATACTAGTGGAACTAAGCAGGAAAAGTTTCTATTCAGTGTATTTTCTTGTGGAAAAGATTGTAATTTCATTTGTGTAATGCTGGGATGAGAAAACATGAGGAAAGAAAAACTTCTTTAAGGGTGCCAGAGCACTGTAGAAGGCTACCTAGTGAAGTCATGGAGTCATCTTCTCTGGAGATAGTCAAAATCCGCCTGTAGAAAACCTGCTTTAGCAGGGGGTTGGACTAGATGATCTCCAGAGGTCCCTTGCAACTGATTTGTGAAATCCTTGACAAAGCAGTAGACACAATTCAAGGAGAAAGACCTCCTTTTTTTTTTTTTTTTTTTTTTTTAAAAAAAAAATCTCTTCCTTTCTCCTTTTCAGTTACCAAAGACAGAATTGATATATATATCTTGGAATGTACTAAATAAGGTAGTTAGCTACATGTCTAATTAGGGACTTCATACGTGTGCAAGTGCCCTTCATTCTACCTTAATCTGAATGAATCTTTTCATTCATCGTGAAGCTGCTTATCCAAAACAAGATCAAGTCTAGACCGTATTAAAAGAGACTTATCTAGAAAAACAGAAACCAAATGTCTCACTTAAATATCTAAGTGATCATCTTTTAGATGGAGAATCAGATACTGTCTATTATTTAAAGGGTCACCTTTAAATAATGATACAGACAAGTGGGGATAAATTGGTGAAGAAAACAGCATGGTCTGGAATACACTGTTTTTGTTCTGCCTAGTAGGAGAATGGTAAGTAGTAAAACAGGGAGGGTTTCCTATATCTTCTTTAACGACCCTGTGTTCTGCCAAAGATGGTATTTTAAGATTGCTAATTACTTCTGCAATAAATAAAACATGAAATTTGCTTGAAACTCGGTGATTGTAGTTTCAGCTAGCTACAAGTTCTTCAAAGTAGCATTTCTTCAGAGATGCTTCATTCTTACAGTCCCTGAATTACACTATTTATAGACTTTCTCTTCTAACTTTGCAATTTAATTTTTCTGTTCTATTTTGTGTTTTGAATCTATTTAGCTGAACTTGGTGATTACGATCCTGATGAGCACCCAGAGAATTATATGAATGACTTCAAGATTTTTCCCAAACAGTCACATAAGCTTGAGAAGAAAATAGCTGAAATACATAAAACTGAATTCAGGTAATTTAGAGTGCTGCTTTGTGAAGTCAGCTAAGGATTATTTTATCTGTTTCCACATTGCGTGTATTAACCCAGGAGGGTTTCTTTCTTCCTGTTTAATATGCTGAATTTGAAAATTCAGTTTCTGCTTAGTGGGTTTTCTTTTTCTAATAACCTTCATTAATCCTAGCTGTTTCCCACATGTGTGGTGGTAATTTAGACTGCATTTGCTTGAAAGAGGGGTCTGGTAATGGGAGTAGCTCACATCATGTGTGCTGTAGTTGATTAACAGAATGACATTTTTCAGTTTGGGATCAGAAGTACGTGGAAGACTGTCTCATCTTTGGGTGTGAAATATCTAAATGTAATGCATTACAGAATTCAGGATCGATATTGATTGCAATGGAACTGTAGGCTTTGTTAACAAAGATATGGTTTATACAGAAATGTGTTTAAAATAGTTCTGTGAAAAAAAAAAAGAAAAAAAAAAAAAGAGGTTAGATTTTAGATTCAGTATACACAAACTTTTTCTGTCCTAAACTCTCAATTGTGTGAGAAGGAGGAAGGAATAAAGATGGGTTGATCTCTCTCTAGGTTTCAAAGTTGAATATATCCCTCAAGTATTGTATTGCAGAAGAGTAGTAGCAGTGCTTTGTGCAACTGTCCCCAGGTCAGGATTGTCAGTGAATAACATGTATGGTAACAGTGTCAGAAATTACTCATCATTTTGCATGGTGGAGAATATTCCTCTGAGAACCATGAGAAGAATAGGAAGTGCAGAAAATTAAATAAAATCAAACAATTAAATTAAGAAGATAATTTTTATTCAAAGACGATGAGGTTCATTGCACTTCCTTGAAACATGCCTATCTTGTTTAACAAAAAGAAGATTGTGAATCATCAAGTCTCCCTCTCCAACAAAAAAAGGGAAAAAATCCCCTATTTTCAGAGGAGTTGAAAATGAAAAGCGTTTGTTTTTTTTCAGAAGTCTATCATATATATGTTGTTCAATCATAAGGTAAAATTACTGATGAGTGTGCCAGAATTAATGTGCTTCCCCTTTTTTCTTTCTTAAACTTATGTGTTTTGTTTATGTTTCTTTTATATTTTATATAACAATATTTTAAACAATATTTTAAATAGTGCAGCTATGGGGATATTTTTAGATTACTTTAGGCTGAAGTTTACACAGATCCAGAGAAATACTGTTTAAAAACAAAACCAATTTATCTTACTTTAAGCACTAGTCCACATGATAGCTGGAGGTTTCCAAATGCTGAATTCAACTTCTAAAAACCAAGGTATTTCATCATTTCAGCCATGGTGCAATTGGGAATATTTTGATCCATTTGGCAGGAATAGTCTAGTCTTTTATTTAAAGTTAGGAGAGAGAAAAGAAGACTTGTTAGAGGGAGCTGATGGCTTTTGTATTTAGCAGCCTTGGGAAGAGATGTATTTTTTTCAGTTGTGTTTTTCTCTTGTACATAATTCTGCCCACGCATCATAAATTTACCTGCTGGTCACTCTATTATGAATAATCAGGCTCATTTTTAGCTCATTTATAAATCCCCTGTTCTGATTAGAATAGTATTCCTCATCCTGTGACAGTGATCATTACAAGCCTTCACTCAGGTCTGTCTAGGATTCTGCTGCGGTCCATTCCTGCGCTCTGGTCCCCCTGTCGCTGCTTGTGAGAATATCCCTTGAATTTCATTAGTCTTGGCAAGGAACACCATTAATTATAGCCTTTTGGAAATTCAAGCAAATTGTATCAGTTCAGTTTCCTGCTGATTTCTTCAAAGAAGAAGTGTTTGAGGCAGAACTTTGATTTATAGCAGAACTCACCTTACATCTCATTTCTGTCTGTGTTGGTAATTCTCTGTAGTAGGTTTGTAGGTTTTGCCAATCTGTACACTATTCATGTTAGACTTAGTGGCTTACAGCTTTTTCTAGATGCCAGAAGCAGTTTTCTTCTCACTTCCTCTCCTTCCTGACCATTTTTTTTTTCTTATTATCAGCTCACAGTGTTCTTTATATATTTGCCTGGCTGCAAAGACAGTTTGAGGGCTGTGTGCATAGCTGCTGCTTGGTCCTGGCAATTTGCATCTTCAGCTCTTTGTTCCAAAAATTGATAACCCTTTCTTACATCAAGCACTCAGCTGTCACATAAAAGTTTTACCTTTTTCATAATATTTAATTCCTTGGATCTCTCTTCTAGGATTACAAATGAATAAAACATATCTGTCATATAATGAACTATATATAGAAAGATCTAGTGCTAGATAATCAGATTCTAGTATCTTAATTATAAAAAGATTATTAGAAAAACCACTGAGTTGTCAAGCTTCTATTTCTTGTTTATCAGCACATGTGTTTCATTGTATTCAGTAGAATTTTTTTAATGAAATTAGTATTTTGCTTCTCAGTGAGTATTGTTAGAAATGCTGAAGGAGGTTCCCAGGCCTTATATTTAAAAGGCACTTAAGTCACATGTTAAGGAATGGGAGAACAGAAGAGACAAAGCCATTTTAATCCAGTTTCCATTTAGCTAACTTTGAAAGAGTTATTTCTGAGTGACATCACTGCAGGTGAATCTGTTCTTTCATTTTTTTCACACATGTAAGCAAAAACTATGGAATCCATCTCTTCTGTGTAACCAAAGCCCTGTGGCTTGGAGGGTGCCAGTTCTTAATTGAATCCTATCTCAGCATCCTCATTCTCAAGGTCTTACTACATGCTGAAAGAATTTGCCTTTTGAAAGTCACATGAGAATAGTGAGAGGAATGTCTGGGAAACAGCCAGTAATGCTGTGACAGCTGCCAATTACTTATGACTTTTTGGTGTCACTTAGAAGTCTTGTTCTTATTAGCTAAAAAGATGTATGACAGATGTATGACATGGTACTTTTATTTCATGCTCTGTTTGCCTATGAAAACATCACTAGATTTTAGCAAAATGCAGGCTTTCTTATGACCATCTTCTTCACCTGGTTGCAAAAATTATAAACATGATGGAAAAACAAATGTGTGAAAAAAATTTATTGGGCTGTGATTCTTTGTCTTGTGAGTTGTAATTAGTTATTCTCATTGAGAAAAGGAGAGGAACAGTAATAATTTAATTGATCTTTACAGTGAATGGGCAAACAAGTGCCATGATGTCATATTCTCATTCCAAGTAAGGTCTCTTTTGAAACACAATGTACTGCTGAGAGAAAGAGAGATAATGGTCTTATGGCATAGCAGCTTAGAATGATGAGTATATGTTCACATTAGGATGAGAAGTGGGCACTTATTCTTGAAAGATTTGAAGTTGATTTGATTGCTATATGTTTGGGTATGGATATAACAGTGCAGCTACAGAATTCCTAGCTACTTGCATTTCTGCTCGCCCGTCAGTTTTAACAGATTGGAAGAGATTTTGGCCATAAAAACAAGATATTCAATGAGTAGATCAATATATATTTCAAGTGAAGCAGATGCTTATGAATGTCTCCAGTTTACTCATTTAATATTTTAGCTAGACTAGTGCAAGTATTTATGAGGCTGCATTGTAAATCACATCACTGAAACAATCCGAATAAAAAACATCTTTTATTTTTTGCTTGTCTTTCAAAGAAAAGTACATGAAATCACACATGCAGTTCTTAGTATTAGAGTATTTTACAGTATTAGAGATATTTTACACACTGTACAATCTTCAGTGTATAAAACTGTACTTTATTTCTGATGACCAAAAAAATCCTACCTTGACAAAATTATGATAAAGAATACTGTGTAGATCTGGGAGGGAAAAAAATGAAACCACAAAAAAATGTAACCCATCAAGTGAACTTGGGCAGAATCATGAAATTTTTTTGATAGAGGAGAGAGATGTTAAGCCAAAGATCATTTCTTCAAGCCTAAAGCAGGGATATCAAAAATTTTTATTTATTTATTTATTTTAATTTGAGAAGATCACTCAGGCAGTCATGATCTCTGGAATTTCAGAACTGTTTTTAGCATATTAATAATTTTATAACTGTGCCCAAAACAGTTGTACTTTTTCCACAAAGTTGCTTAAGCAAATTTAGTTCCTGGCACTGTTTTGTTTCTTGCTAGTGGATTTTACAGGCTTCTCTTACAAGTAAATGGAGGTCATATATATATCACATACCTGTTGTCAGTTTCTTCTTCCACATGTACTTCAGTGTTGTTACAAGTGCGTCATTTGTTTTAAAAGATGGATAAAAACTTCAGATGTTTTTACTGCATTTACAGTGCCTTCTCTCTTCTCCAAGATACAAATTTATTCTGTCCCAAATCTTCTGTCTTAAAACAGAGTATTTATAACTCTGATAAATTCCCTGTCTTTTGAAGAGTACCTATCAACCATAGTTTCCTGAGATGAGACCTGAAATCCAGAGAATTCCAAAGACAAGATTCCTATATAATCTGCAGAAGGGAACATCTGTCTGTTGAAATTATGTTTATTTTCTCCTCTTTTCATATGAAAGGTATGTGATGAAAGTATTTAGAGGTTGAGACTGAAGATTTTTTTTGTATCCCACCTGATAACTGCTTCTGATGTGAAATACAAAGTCATGTAACTTAAATGAGTGTATTATGTAAGAAGCCCTAAGGACACATAATTTTGCCAATTAAATTATGAACCAATTCAAGTAGCTATTTCTCAGGCCAGTTTCATAGGTAAATTCAAATAGTTTATCATTACTTGGAGTTGCTGATGTTAATACAGGCTCAGGGTACTTGACCACTACTTACTTGGCTATTCACTCCAATGTGTGACATTTTCTAGATTCTGCAAAAGTTTTATGTGGAAGAAAATCTTTTGGAAGAGGAAGAGATTTCCTCTGAGGGCATGAAATCACTGACATGTTTTGTTAATAACTATCTTTACTATCTTTAAGTATCTTCCTATATAAGAAATTTAAACTTTTAAACTAAAGGGTAATATTTTCATGAAAACCAGATTAACAAACTAATGCTTGTTTTTGATGAAAGATAAATGAAAAGTTTTGTTTA